GGAGGGTGGGTACCCATGCTTTTGCCTCCTGCAGATCTCCCTACGGCAGGGCCTGCAGGCTGACCCGGGTGCCTTGGCAGCCCTCTGTGAGAAGACAGACAATGATATCCGTGCCTGCATCAACACCCTGCAGGTGTGTGGGGGGCAGCTGGCTGTGGTAGGGTGGGGCAGGGGGTAGCTATCTCTTACCCCCCACACTCTATATCCAGTTCTTGCATGGGCGGGGCCAGCGGGAGCTGAGTGTTCAGGCTGTTCAAACTACACGAGTTGGCCTCAAGGACCAGCGCAAGGGGCTCTTCTCTGTGTGGCAGGAGGTCTTCCAGCTGCCCCGGGCCCAGAGGTAGGTGGGGTGGCCAGAATGAGTGCGCAGGCCAGGCTCTCCCTTGTTATTTGCTGTGCTCAGCCCTGAACACAACCCTGCATGTGCAGGCTGCACCCCCTCTCCCCTCTTTGCCAACAGAGACCCAAGGCTCTCTGGGTTCTGCTTTCAAGGCTGTGCCTCAGCCTCCCCCACTCCTCTCTCCTTGGGGCTCCCTCAGGTGGGGAGGGTGCTGCCAACAGGAATAAAGTGGGTGGGGGCTCCACTCCAGCTTCAGCAACCCTTCTGCAGGCAACGTGTGGGGCAGGACCCAACTCTGCCTACCCACATGCTCCTGCTGGGCGATGGGCTCATGGGTTTGGGGCGCCAGGCTTCCAAGGCACCTCTGACCACAGCTGCACAACGGTTCTACCATGTTCTTCATGTGGTCGCCTCCGCGGGTGAGCATGAGAAGGTAGTCCAGGTAACTACACTTGACCTGAACTTACTTTCTAGGGTGCATTGTGGGGGGAGTGTTTCCTTGTCTCTAGACAGTGAACAGGAGACAATTCAGATAGTGCCAATCTCTAGAAAAAGCAGGTGGGATGGGAGTGAGGTGGGGCAGACAGGGCATCGGGGAGGCCTCTGAGGGGACTCTGACAGGCACAGAGGGCTGGAGGAGGGGTTGGCAAGTGCTAGGAGGGGAATGGTCACGGCAAGTGCTAGGAGGGGAATGGTCACCAGCATGGCAGTGGGCTGGGTGTGTGTGGGGGGGTTCATTTTGATTGATGGGATCACTGGCTGCCAGCAGTGTGGCAGCAGCTGGGCGGCCTGATCCAGTGGCTGGGAGGGGCTTAATTCTGGACATGAGCTGTGGGAATGGGGACATGTGGATTAGAGCAGGTTGGGATTTTGGCCTGAGCAGGTGCTAGAGATATACCCCCAACCCTGAAAGCCTGGCTTATGCTGTCTCTCTAAGCCGCTTTGGGTTAGTGGTTCGAGGTCCTTGCAAATCCAGAAATGTATGGTTGTTGAGGGCAGAGCAGTGGCAGGAGGGAATGGGACTTCCTGGTAGGAGAGTGGGGGCTCTGCTCTCAATTCTGGTGGACAGACTTCCTTTAGGGAGGTGTGGAGGTGGGGAGTTCTTTCCTGCACATCCCAGGATCTTGGTCAAACCAGAGTTGGGGCAGCAGGTGGTCCCTCCTGGCTTCCCCCTCAGGGCCATGTGGCAACTCACTGGTGCTTGCTGCTATCCCGAGACCCCAGACTTGGCAGGGCAGATGGGCAGTGAAGGGTCCCTTGTGCTGTGGCAAGGGGTTCATGATGCTGGAGGGGCTCAGGGACCCACCACCCACAGGGCCTGTTTGACAACTTCCTGCGGCTGCGGCTGCGGGACTCCAGCCTGGGTACTGTGTGTGCGGCCCTCGACTGGCTGGCCTTTGAGGACATGCTGGGCCAGGCCGCCTACCACAGCCAGAGCTTCCAGTTGCTGCGCTATCAGCCCTTCCTGCCTGTGGCCTTCCACCTGCTGTTCGCCTCCAGCCATGTGCCAAGGATTGCCTTCCCCAGTAGCCAACAGGAGGTGTGCTGCACACCCTGCCCCTTGCCCCTGTCTGGGCCGGGCCTGGGATCCTGGCGGGTTCTGGCTGACTTGGTTCTGGTTTACCCTCCACCCCAGGCCCAGAACCGGACAAATCAGGTGCAGAACCTGATTCAGACACTGGTATCAGGTATTGCACCAGCCACTCGCAGCCGTACGGCGCCCCAGGCCCTTGTCCTGGACACCCTCTGCCTTCTCCTGGACATCCTCGTGCCTAAGCTTCGCCCTGTGAGTGCCTCACCGAGAAGGAGGGTTCAGCTTCCAGTGGAACTGGGTTCTTGACTGCTTAGTGTTCCTACTTGTTGCCTACCTGCCCACAGGTGAGCACTCAGCTCTACAGTGCCCGTGAGAAGCTGCAGCTGGCCAGCCTTGTGGGTACCATGCTTGCCTACAGCCTAACCTACCGCCAGGAGCGCACGCCTGACGGGCAGTATGTCTACAGGCTGGAACCGTGAGTCTGTGCAGCATCTGGAGTAGGGGTCCTGGGGGGTTGGGCTCAGAGTCTAAAAGCATGGCTTTGGTGAGACGTATGAGTATCAGTTTCCCCATTTGTCAGAGATTGGCAGGGGTGTCGTTTCTAGCTCAGCTTTTGCCCATATGTGACTGAAGTGGGCCCCCAGGTTGGGGATAGATAGCCCCAGGACCTGAGGTTTACTACGGAACCTCTCACTGCCCCAGTGTCCTCCAGGAGCCACCCCAGTGGTTCCTCGAGTTCCCTAGGGCTTTGTTTCCCTGCCCTGAGATGGTTTGGGGATGGAGTGGCCCCCTGGGGTCCTGCTGCCCAGAAAGGGCCCCAGTGCATTTGGGATGCAGGTGTTTCTCCGTGCCAATGGCAAGGAGGCAGTAATGGTGGTCCCTGAGCACAAGCCCAGCCTGAGCCCCAGCCCTGCGCCATGTTGTCCCATTCCCTCCCCTTGTAGCCCTGGGGAGGTCCCTTTTCATGCCCACATATGGTTGAGGAAACAGGTTCAGGGGTAATCCCCCTGCTGGCCCAAGGTTGGGGTACAGCAGAGCCAGAATCACCCTGTCCTGCAGCTTTCTCCTTCTGGCATTTGGTGTTATTGCGGTGGGTTGCTTCTGCTCCTATCACCACTGAGTGGGTTCCTGGGTGTCCTGCCCCTCCCACCCTGAGCAGGAACTTGGAGGAGGTCTGCCGTTTTCCTGAACTGCCTGCCCGAAAGCCCCTCACCTACCAGGCCAAGCAGCTTATTGCCCGTGAGATCGAAGTGGAGAAGATGCGAAGGGCAGAGGCCTTGGCCCGAGATGGGGACAGTCCCCAGGTGAGCCAACCTCTGGCTTGGGGCAGAGCAGGGCCTGGTAGGGCAGTGCCCTCGGAGTGGACACTGCCTTTGAAATGGCCCTGCCCAGTCACCTCTCATCACACCCAGGTCGACGGGAGTCCCCCAAGGGCCAAGATCGCACAGGAGGGTGCTGGGGGAAAAGGGGCACAGCCACACAACCCCCGAAGCCACGAGCAGCAGCTGGAGCGCATCCTGAAGAGAGCAGCCCTGGAGGACCAGGTTTGAGGGCTGGAAGGTGGCCATGTGGGTGGGGTTGTGTTACCTTGGTGTAGGCTGGTTCTAAGCCCTGAGGCACCCACCTAAGGGTCCAGCTTCCTGCTGCTCAGCAGGATAGGGTTTCACCTGGGCTCAGTTTCCCACTTGGGCAGGAGAGTGGCTTTTGTTGGCACCTCTTGCCCTTGCCTGACGGAGCACGCATCTGTGAGGGTGGTTGGGGATAGAGGGGACACTTGCTGACAGGTCAGCACAGAATGAGGGGAGGGGCCTGGGAGAGGTGACTGTTCCCCAGCCCTGGGCCACTGTTCAGAGGTGCTATGAGACCCATTCTCCCTGGGAGAGTTCTCCCCTCATGGCAGGGAGTGTCCTCTATGTCTGTCCCCATGAACCTGACCATCCATCCTCTTTAGACTGAGAGGGATTTCTTCGGTCGTGTGGTTGTCAGGAGAGCAGCAGCCGTAAGCACAGGTGTGTATGGAGGTGGGAGCTGTGGAGGGAGGGGCTAGGGTCAGGCAGAAGATCAACCCTGTGGCCCCCACAGAGAACACAGCCCCTGAGACTGACACAATTGAGCAGCGAATGGGCACTGCGGTGGGCAGGAGCGACGTCTGGTTCCGCTTCAAGGAGGGTGTCTCCAACGCCGTGCGACGCAACCTACATATCAGGGACCTGCTGTAGCTGGGTCACACCAGACACCCCAGGGTCACACTGGACGCCCTAGTCCACACTCCCCAGGGTTACGCCAGATGCCCTGGTCCACGTTGGACACCTCAGATCGATGCTGGATGCCCCGATTTACACCGGATGCCCCAGAGATGCCTCTATGTTCATGACTGACACCCAGATCTACACCAGATACCCTGAGGTCATGTTGGGTGTCCCCAGGTCCACACTGGACACCTCAGCTTTGCTTTCTCTGTTTCCTTTTATTTTGATTTTGAGAATACATTTATTAAAGCTGAGGACAGTGACACAAGGAATGTCTTAGGACTAAAGCAACAGGAGAGAGCCTAGGCTGGGCTGCTTTGGCTCACTGACAAATAAGTCACAGTGACAGAAGTGAGCCAAGGCCCAGCTGCTGTCAGCTCACTGGAAAGACAGAAAAGGGCCTTGGAGACAGATTCAGGGGGTTAGCCCAGGATGAGCTGCTGCTACCTATTGTTCCCCTGGTTGCAAGTCTCATGGGGTCCCTTGGAGTTTAGGAGATGCACGCCTATGGGAGAAGAGGGGGAAGGGAAAGGCACAGGCTGCTCCCAGGAGGGATAGTGCCCGGAAAGTCTATAAAAGCCACACCTTTACAGAGCTGTTCTCTTCACAAAGAGGCATGAGCCTGGGGTTGTGGGGGTCTCACAGGATGGCACACTTGCCCTTCTCCACCCACGGGTTGTTCTTCATGAGGTCAGGGTTCAGGAAGGGGTCCTTGGGGATCCCATCCTCGATCCACTTGAGGAGCCTGTGGGTGGGGAGATTGGGGTGAGCAGGTGGGCACCTGTTCCTTCAGAAGTGCTGTGCAGCGGCTGCAGCTGCATGTGAGGGTTTGATCTTAGCTTATGCAAATGAGCACAGGGCAGGGAAATGAGAGGCAAATCAACAGCTGCCCTGGGTGGGGTGAGGCTGAGGCTCTGGGTTCTTGGGGACTCACTCAGGGATGGTCTTGGATGACATCTCCCTTTTGAAGGCCAGCTGGTACTTGAGGCTCTCGACCTCCTTCTTCATCTGGGGCACGTCCCACTCCTCCATGGGGTCGGGGGCTTCGGAAGTGGCCAGCCTGGGGCTGGAGGGCACAGGAAGAAGCAATAGAGATGCTAGCCTGCAATAGCCCCCAGATGCTCCCTCCCCACTGGTGAGACCCCTACACAAAAGGAGGGAGCCCCATCCTTGTACATTGACAACCCACTGTCTGGGGAGACCCCTAGGGGCCATACCACCAACCCTGCATATCCACACGGGCAGCACTGGGGTGCAGGGCCTAGATCTGAGGCCCTATTAATGAGGCACCCTCCCCCCCATGGGGCTAATTAACTGCAGAGGAAACTTTCCACCCTTAGCTCTGCATCCCCACCCAAGCAAAGCCTTACCAAGGCTGGGCCTCTGGGTTGGAGAGGAATGGGGCACTCACTGTCCCTGCTGGGGAGGTAGCAGGACCAGCACATGGCACAGACAGGTTCCCAGGAGCCCACACCAGTCCCCCACCCCCACTGTGAGGCCCGCTTCCCACTCCTGGCTGTGTAGGTGTAGCCCAGGCCCTCATGTAAAGAGCAGGACCCTGCCTGGGGCCCTTCATGTGCCTCCCCCTACTTTGCATGGGCATAGCCCCCATTGAGGGCAAGTTAATCCTGGGGCTAGAAGGATTTGACTGCTTTTTGCATCTCTGGCTGGGGGTTGAGAGTGCCGAGGATCTTGGAGGTCAGAAGCTGCAGCCTCCTGCTGCTGTGTCTCCCCTGGCACTTCACAAACTGCAGGGCCCAGATTCTGCTTGTGAACGAGCCTGGCAAAGCCACAGGTTGAGGCCATAGATCCAGTCAGTTGGGGTCACATGAGGGCAGGCTGCTCCTTGACCTCCCACCCCAGTCCATCCTAGGGGCCCAGGGAGGCCCTCATTGCCCCCCAGCCACTACCCGAAGCACTGAGGCTGGGAACCAGGAGGCTGGCTTTCTTGACCTTGGAGGGGTGGGCAGGTGGTCCACAGAGGCTGACAGGAGTATGACCTTGCCCCTTAGGCTGTGTAGGACAGTGGACAGTCTCCACCCTGGGTCGGAAGTGTGTGGGGGGTGGGGAGGTGTGCCTTTGTCTTTGTGGTGGTTGGGGAGAGTGGCCAGGCCAGGAGGGTTAAGGGATGGCCAGCCAGGGGCAAGGGTGAGAGCCCAGGGAAGCAGGACATCTTTGCGGGGTAGCCAAGAGGGGGTGTACAGGCTCCTCCTAGAAACCCCAAGTTCCAGCACCCCAACCCCCCCAGAGCAGGGTCTCACGTGGATAGCCATGTGGGGTGGGGGGCATCCCAGTCGGGGTCGCAGTGGTGCTGTCCACGGCCCCCTCCTCCGCTGTCGGGCCCTACCTGTGTGAAGCCGCTGCCGAGCCAGCTTCAGTCCCACGCACTCTGCCTGCCCCGCGATTTGCACCGCCCCCAACACAATGCTTTGCCGGCACTGCGGGTGGCGCGCTGGGCTCACAGAGGGACGCGGCTCCCCTTCCTGTAGGCTGCCCCGCCCCACCCAGCCCACAGACTGAGGGGGTCCTCCCTGCCTGGCCTGGCTCTTTGGGACACTCAGGGCAGCCGCCCTCAGCTGGAAGACGGGCAGGGGCATCTCTTCTCAGGATAGGTCTGTCCAGGTCAGCCCAGTGGGACCTGGGCAAATCTCAGAACCCTGGGCTTCGGTTCCCTGCGCAGCCTAAGGGACCAGTTCATCTGACTTACCTTGGTCCATCAGACTTACCTTGGGTGGTGATGGTGAGGGAGAAGTGATGACAAGGGGCAAGTGATGGCAAAGTGACTTCGAGGGCTAAGTGATGGGCGAGTGAGCCTGCCCACAGGCAGGCAGAGCCCAGCAGGTGCCCGCCTACTCCTGCCACCTGGGGCTGGGCCCTGGCACCGCCCCCGCCCTCCACCCGCCCTCCTCAGGGCTGTGCTGACCCTGGGGACTTGGCCTGGCCCAGCCAGCCTCCAAGGGTGGGAGATGCAGTTTGAGATTTGCTCTGGTCCTGAGTGTGAAATCCTTCCCTGCTCTTCAGTCCTCAGGGCAGATCCCATCAGGGCCAAGATTGTATCCCAGTGTCAGATGATGCCCTGGGTGTGCCCAGTGGGCCTGCTGCCCTGCTTCATTCTTAGGGAAGCTGTGCCCCTGAGGTCATTGGGTGACACAGGGACAAGGCTACATCCTGGTTGGGCCCCCAGATGGCAGGGCTTAGCTCTCCAACCAACGTCCTCAAGAAGGCCAGAGCCTGATGCTCCCCAGGCTCTTAGCAGTTGCTCCTGTGACCTCCCCTGGGGCGGACCCCTATGACTGGTCACTGCCCCACCTGGAAAGCAGGACAGGGTGCCCCCTGTCCCTTCAGATACCTGGGCCCTTCCTAGTGTGATTCTGTAAAAGGGGTCAGTGGCGTCTCGGTGCTTGAGCATGTACATGATGACAGATCAGGAGGCACTCTGGAACTGGGGCACATCAGGGAAACTAGGGATTATTTTTATTATGGATTTAGGGAGTAGGGGCTTAGAGCCAATGGTGTCTGTGTTCTTAGGGCAGATGGCCACAGTGCTGGCCTCTTTCCACCACCATCCGTCCCCCACTTCCCCACCCCCCCAGGGCCTGTGGTCATCTGCCTGCCAGGCCCCTCCGGTGCTGTGACTGGGCTGCCTGGGCTCTCATGGGGCTGGGGGACCCTGCTCATATTGGTGGGAGGCTCAGGGCAGGGGTTCTTGTTGGCCCCCAAGACTGGATCAAGGTTGGGACTGAGACCCAGGCCAGCCAGGCCCCACTACCCACTCACACCTTCCTCTCAGAGGGCATGGGTAGAACCAGGCATCCACCCCAGGCTCTGACCTGACAGTGCCCCAAGAATCTCCTGAGAGAGAAGCCCTGGTGTGACTTGGCTAGGTGTGGACCCCTGTGGCTGGCTCCAGGGGCCTGCTTTGCAGGTGCATTTTGAATTTTCCACTGTGGAATCAGAAAGTTCAATGTAGTCACAGCTGAAACCCACTAAGAACCTCTGGTAGGGCTCAGAGACCCAAACTGGAGTTCACCTGGGCGCCCTCAGCACAGCATGGCTGGGTCTGTAGGCGGGAGCTGTGTGGTGGGGCACAGACTGCGCTTCCCCCAGTGCTGTGCTGAAACAGTCTCTGGGTGCAGTCAGACCCACTGTTGTGGGGACACTTGGGGTTCAGAAGCGGTCATTGTGCTAAGGTGGGCCCATGTGATGAAAGCCACAACTGCGCTTGGTGGTCCAGCTGAAGAATGTATGCTTGTGTGAGCCCATGAAGCCCACCCCCTTGGTAAGAGTTGGGGAACCCTGTGGCTCCTATTTTTCGCCTTCCTGGGAGGCGCTCCTGTGGACCCCAAACATGGCCAGGCCCTCTCACTGGAGCCTCTGAGGGGGACTGACTGGGCAGGTCCAGAATGCTCAAAGGCCCAAGGATTCAGGGCGGGAGGGGGCCACTGGAGCAGCAGTGACAACTTGTCCTCCAGCTGAGCACCAACTCACAGACTCCCAGAGTGGGCCCAAGGAGACCAAACACCTTTCTGAAATTAGCTCCACTAACTGGGCTGCTGGTGGCAGCCAACAGAGCTCGCTGGCCTAGAAACTGCTGCTCAAGCCCCACGCCTGCAGGGGCCTCTCATGGGACAGGGTGATCCAGGCCAGGCCTCCCAGAGGAGCTGAAGGCATGGGGGGCAGGGGTGGCAGGACTGTGGCAGTGATGCTCTCAGTGCTCAGAAAGAATATAAAATGGTGTGTGGGTTGCTCTGACACCTTCCAGGTAGAGTCCCCGAGGAGGGATCAGAGACAAAGGGGAGGAAATGCCCCAACCAGACAAGACCCACAGATAGGTATTATCCTTGCCTGTTTCCAATGTGTCTTTGACCTTTGGCCTGTCTCTCGCCAGGTCACCTCTGAGCTACCCAGTTCCACCTCCAGCTCCATGTGGGTTCTCCAGAGACTGAGACTTTCTTCCCCATGGTTCCCCAGTGAGAGAGGGCAGGCAGCCCCGGGCAGAGGTGATGAGGGCCTCAGCAAGAGCGCCACCGCTGGTGTCTGCAGCCCTCAGAGACTGCTGGGTGGGGGATGGGGATTCAGACCCTACATGCAACCCTCCCAGGGCCACAGGGTCCTCCCAGGGTCCTACAACATTGGCCACTTTTGGCCAATGTTGCAGGACCCTGACTGGCAGGGGCACAGTGGGGGCCTGGCCTGATAGCCCTCTATCCCATGGAGGGCATGGGAGCCTTGGGTTACAACAGGCCACCCTCCCTCCTGAGGCACAGTGACAACGGCCCTGGTGGCTTCAGGGAGACCTGCTGACTTGTGTCCTATACCTGGAAACCAAACTGGGAAAGGTGACCATGGGGATTGGAGAAACACCAAAGAAACCTTTCATTTCACCTGGTTAAACAGAGCTCATAAAAAACCAGACAGTTTTTACATAATCTTTGAAAGTTTGAAAATGATTTGCAAAAACAATTTAAGCTCTTAGACCCAAGAGTGCAAAATATACAACAAATAATTCCAACAATCGAGGTGGGGCAGCTGGCTCTGGTCAGTATGTCCTTGAGTTACTGAGTCTCAGGGAAGTGACTTCGGTTAACGTGGTTTATCCTAATAGTTCTGTGGTCCAGGCAGGCGGGTGCAGCCACAGCTCCTCTGGGGGGCTGGCTCTCTGTGGGAATTATGAATGTGGTGGAGGTCTCAGCACCTCCAGTGTCGTATACAGTAAAGCACCTCTCTGAGAGCACTGACTAAAGACAGCCACAAATTTTCTAATAACAGCACGGATCTGCTCAGCTGCAGGTGGTTTATGATCTCAAGGTATGGCCTTTTGGTCAGTGGAGGAAGCGGGAAGCCTGTGACCCCGTGGGGAGCAGGTGAGCTCCATCACTGGCTTGCTCTAGGCATGTAGCTTCCGCAGACCCAGGCTGCTAACTGTTCCACACATCCCACTGACCCCAACAACAGGACCCTCTGGGTGCAGGCCCTGCCTCCCCTCCCACGTGGGCAGACAATTACTTTGAAATGGGAAAGGTTGAGCAACTTTGCCCAGGGACTCCTAAGGAGCGAAGGCAGGGCATCTGGACACCTGCCCAGCCCTGTGCTCCAGGGCTGGCAGCCCGCCTGTAGGTGGGAGGATCC